GTGCTCCTTGTAAATCTGCTGAATCCTAGAGACCAAAGCCTTTGAATGTTGGCTCCTGGCTCTTCCATGATCACATAGCAGAGGAGACAAAGAATACTGCCACACTGAAACTGTTCACTTGCCAAATATTTATCCATGTATGGCATATTTGAACACATCGGGGTAGCTTCAAGTGGCCAATGACTATATGGAGTGTCTGGCTTAATTCATCAAGATTCTATATTGTTACATCTGATGAGTGTCGGCTCCTCTTCCAGTCCGACGGAATGTGGCTTCTCCGACCAGAATCACAGTGTGGCTTCTCCGGTTAGAGCAACCCAGCGCTATATATACTATATATGTCTTTTTTAGAGCAGGTTGAAACGACCCCAGCACCCCCCACGGAGAGGTAGAGAGACATCCAAACTGATGAAGATGTGGTTGCATGATGGGAATTCATGAAGGCACCAGGGGCGAAATGAATTTGGAACCATTATATAATGGATTTATGCCGTCGTTGTCTTATGGATTTGATGCGACAAAGCCTAGAATAATGCTACAAACCCAGGTCAACATATATTAATGGTTATATCTTAAATAGTTGGTCTTTGAAGGCCTAGGGCCTAGGGTAGGCTCAGCCTAAGGCCTGGCATTGACCAGAACCTCTCAAAGACGGACCCGCTCGGAGGCCCGGACCTCGGCGGACCTCAGCAGTGGACCGCCACCAGGGGGCACGCCAGGTGCGGTGGATTCAGGAGCACGTCCGGGGTAGAGAGAAGGGGTGTTTGCTTTTCCCCAAGTTCCATCCAAGTGCCCAGGCTACGGCGACCTGAAAATTCCATTCCGAACTCTGAAGGGTGGGTGCAAACTGAAGGGTTGAAGAAGGTCGAAGAAGGTCGACTGGGACGCGACAAGGTCGACTGAGGACCACATCAACTGTTGGATCTGCTGGGGAAATCCATCCCTCAGAAAAAGGCTATGCATCCAACTGAGTGGGTAGGTGTATATAGCATGTTACAACCACTCCGACTCCTACATGTACAGCACATGTTGGGTGTTGCAGGCGCACCATGGTACATTCTGGCAGGCCCGTTCCAGCGGCTGTGCGGATGGTGATAGTTTTGGGGTATTCTCTGGTCGGGGTGATGTTCAGAGATGTCCACATCCTCATGTCAGGATGTTGGAGCACTGCACATCCGGCGGTCCACCAGCCAGGACACCTCCTGGTTTCCTCTGTGTTAGTTAGGGCTGTGCATCAAAAGGCCATTGGAAGTTGGTGCCTAGCGTCTTCCACCAAACTAGACCTCGTTAAACAGCGGCCTTGTGGACGCTTTCATAAAGGAAATGAGACAGGTAATATCCGGCGTGTCTTCATTGTTCTGCCAGCAGGTTGTGCTCTTTTCTTGGTCTTTTCCTCGAAACCACGCCTTGTGTGGCTAGCATCGGCCTCCAGCGAGCTTCTGCACCGTTGGCCGCTCGCCAGCTCCAAAGCTCTAGTTGTCAGTTCCTCTACAGGGCTGGGCGGATCTCTGCACTTTCAGGGCTGCGGACAGACGTGACAAAACGCAAGGGACAACGTTGGAAGGAGGGACGGCGAATGGAGCAACCCTCTCCATAGCCTGATTCATTCACGTGGACCATCAATTGCCTCGTCTCAAATTGTGCCTTCGTGAACTCAAAACAGCTCTGTTGATGAGAATATCATGGGGTAGGCCCAGCACTATTATACGACCAGCGCCACCCAAAGGGTGGCTATTGGATGGAAAACACGACTTGCAAATTCGGCACCTAAGGGAGTACAAAAGCAAAGTCAAAGGTTCAAATCAACCATCATCTATCATCAGTCAGTGCAAGACTTCTGGGGAGTGTGTGGGTTCCGTCAAGTGAAGAAACCCCCAGCTTGACAAGTTCCACAGCCTCATGTAGAATTTGGGTTAACCAAACCGCCCGTAAAATCCAAATCGAGGATTTGATGGATCAAGAGCTTAAGCAGCATGAACCCAACCACTCCCAAACTCCAAGTATGCCAACATCATCCAACATCGCTTGGCTTGATCAACCCTCCCAACCATGCGAACACTGGGCATCTGTCACGGGTAGGTACCGTGCAGTCAGAAGCCCATGCGAACACTGGGCATCCATGCTTCGCAGGACGACCCCGGAAGAATCTCGGCAGAGTCTCTGCTTGGAGGAAAAACGGAGCTGACCATACTCAGTTGTAGAAAGCTCTGTCAGTCTGACACTCATCAGTGGTAAGTTGTAATGTTGTAAGGCTCTCATATGGTTTCTAGCTCTGCAACCGCAAGCACCTTTCGGTTCTGTCGCTTGAACTTATTGCCAAGCATTCTTGACCTCTTGTCGTAATTGCGCGTCCGAGCACCCACAGTGGTCACGTCGAAATTCTTCCACGTGTTCTGTGGCGAACTTCTACGCCATTTCTAAAAGCTGGGACAAGCAAGGATGTCCGGCCAAACGGGTGGCTGAGCCTCAACAATATTGTCCAGCCGTTCTGTTCGGCTGATTCGAACAGGAAAACAGGTGCCGGGGTCCCATGAAGACCTTGATGACTTCCGCTTCCCCTGATCGCATGTCCAATTGGTCCAATTACAGTAAATACCCTCATTGGGCTCCTGGCCTATATCCTCGGAAGGTTAGATCCCCCCTGGCACACACCCTAACCACCGAACCTCAGGAGGTAGGCCAGGAGCCCTAAACCCCCCCTAAGCCTTAGCAACATCGAGCGGTGGCTCATTCCGGCTCAATACAGCCAGCGCGATTTGGGCACTAAGCACTTCTTCATGTCCCCAGTGCATCTAGGCAAACCATGATGTCGCCTACCTAGCCAGTGGTTCCAGGGTTTAGGGTTCAGGGCAAAGACTTCAACCGTAGACCGAACGAGGGAATCCTAGGGCCCCTTGCTCGTCTTCTGGCGCGGGCCTCCACCTCACCAGTTCAATCGAAAGCTCGGCGCGCCGCCGCCCGCCGGGTAGGAGAGGGTCAGATTGGTCCTGGCGAGAGGAGGTCGCAAAAACCGCTGGGCTGAGATCTACCTGAACACGTGATGAGTAGTGAGTAGTGCTTGCTGTGCCGTGAGGCGTCTATAGCGCCAGGGGTCTAAACCGATCCCCAGCCCCACTCCCACCGACCAGGCCAGGGGGTCGGGCCAAAACCCTGCTCGGTGGCTGTCAAGACATACCACCACGATCGAGGACGTCCTGGGTTTGAGCTCGGTGGCCTTGTATTCCAAGTAGTTCCCCGCGGGCCCGAAGAGGTACCTCAACCAGTCGGATGGAACTCACTGGCATCGGAAAGCGGATGGCACCACCGGTGGAAAGCAGTCAGTCTTACGGTACCCAAACACTCCATGTATGCCAAATATGCCTACATTGGGGTGGTTTGACGGGTCAATGTAGGCATATATGATCATATATGGCAGTCCCATGGAGTGCCTGGGGTATGGAAAATGTCTTCATTCCACGCTACGGTCACTACAGAAGTTTTGCAGAGTGGACTGCTTGCTCGGAGGCACCCAATGAAGTGAACGACTGATCGACCAGCGTTCAGACTCGCTGGTCGATGATATCACCAGCGTAAGCGGCCTGTTGCAAACACCGGAACACGCGTTGCGGAGGTGTTGCCAAACACAAAACCACCATGAACACATACCTCCATAGAAGGTCCTTGAAACTGCAGAGTCCCCAGCAGTTCCATTTCGACCTGTCTAGATCTTGCACTGATCCAAATGTCTGGGAAAAGAGTTGGATCAATGGGGTCGATCCTATTACCAGGACGTGGATGATGATGGTTAGGTTGTAGGCCTTGTTCAATTAAGGAGGACAGACCTAATGGATCCAAACTTGTGGCACTCAGAAGACCGCCTGCAAAACCGGCCCCCGCCGGGAGGCGGGAGACGCGAGACACATGGAAACCCCACGGGGGAGCCGGATAGCTCAGGGCACTTCTCGCCATAGTAGGCTGCGGCCTTCTTCTCTCCATCAGCTTCCCAATTGTATCCTTCGGTCTAGGCTGCGATTCCCCCGAGACCAGTCTCGCATGCTCGATAATTATCATGGTGACGTGGATGGTATGGCCCTTTGAAGGACCGCTTTGCTCTACAAAGCAGTGGTTTTCTACTAAAAAAGGTATGATTCCAGGGAGTGCATGTCCGACAATACCTTCGGAGACTGGGCCCAGGTCAAGGCAAGCATAGGGGATGAGTGTAGATCAACATCATGAAACCAGTCCTATCGAGATGTCAAGCCATTCGACCTGACCCCCGTACGGGCCGGCCAGGAGTCTCCGTCCCGTCGTTGGACGACTATAGTTGGAACATCCCAACTGGAGTCGTTGCAGAAAAGCCAAAGCCAAGTGAAGTCAGCCGCCATTTGCTCCATCCACCCTTTCCCCCTGCATGGCCTAAGCTTATCCTCTGATCTGTTCTTTAAAGAAAACACGAAACCCGATTGGAGGTGCGGGAATCTTCTTGTGTAGAACAGTCTAGGCTTGTCTAGACCAGGCTTTGTAATAGTACATTGTGCATGAATATAGATAATACATAAATCAAACTATAAATCACATTAACATCCCTGGTCCTATCAAGTCACCAATGCATAGAACTTACACCTTCGTCCCCTCCACCACCTTAAAATGCCATTGGCTTCTGGCTTCTCGGCCGAACACAGCGAATGCCCGTTTTCCCGCGGACCTTCCCTTCTTCCAGGTCTCCTTCGCCCATGCGGACAAGGTAGCTGCCAGGCGGCAGCTGGGCCTTCTCACTGGTGCAGTTTGGGTGGCAGAAGACCATGGCCAAGGCCTCACCGTCAACTGCAGAACGGAAAGGCGCGGTTTCACGCCCTTTCCGCCGCGGAATCCTGCGAGCAGTTTTCGGACTCAGGCCCTCGCCGCCCAAAAAATAGAGAAAGGTACCGAGCTGGTGGAAAGTAAACCCGTTTAGGTATGAAGCACACTTCTCCCGCCTTCAAAGCTTCCTGGTCCTTCTGCGCCGCCAGCACTTTGGCCACCAGTGGCAGGCCGCCGGACTGAGTGGCCAGAGCAACAAGAACTAAATAGAACAAGCACAAAACTAATGCTGGGCACCGTTGAAGAAAGCCTATACATACCAAAGATTCAAATTGCCTACGACTTCTGCTGTTCACAAAGCTTTCCTTCATTCCAGCTGGTGCCGGAAACCTCATTGTCTCTCTGGCCTCGCGCGGACCACTGCTCCAAGTTTGACCGAAACCGTTTCGCCCCGTTCGGATGCGCTGTGAGGTCGGGCGGGATGACAGTTCTTGAAGCTGATGCTGCTGGAGCCTGCGGAAGTTGTGCGCAGTCCGGCAGGTCTGTGCGAAAATGCAAACATGCTGGCTTTGGGGGTGCTATTAAAGGGTCAATGGATAGCAGCACTGAAAGCTGCGGGCGTTTGGGTCTGCATGTTTCGCCGACTCTAGCATACTCTAAACTCTAGCCGTCATGGACTCAAGGACTTGAGAAACTCAAGGACTTGAGAAAGATACAGGGCCCCAATGTTCCAAATGCATTTCAGTACATCTGATGTTCGAAATCGCTCATTCCAACATCACCTGCCAGGTTGTTGAGGCCTTCGGGCTGTTCCAGCAGCACCTTTCCCTGCTCCGGCCAGGGTAGAGGCTCGGGTGCCACGTGTGAGGGCTTCGTGGCCCGTAGGCGGCGGCCTGTGGCATGAAGCAGAGGCCAGGGTGTGAGTGGAAGAGGGCTTATAGATGGAATATGATGGAATAGCTTAGGGAAAGAAATATGATGGAATAGCTTATGATGGAATATGATGGAATATGATGGAATACAAATTAGTGCCCTTGAAGTAGTGCCCTTGAGGTGATCCAACTCTTGGATGTCTGGAGTTGTGACTCTTAGATGCGAAGCACGTGGTGACTCTCCGCCAGCGCATGAACGACGACCGGTGTTTCTTCTCCCGGCGGATCCGTCAAATGAACACAAGTATGGGCTGAGCTTTCATTGAAAACCGTCTCCCCCCAAAAGGTGCCAAAAACCAAGCACCCTTAGTCTTTATATGTGCTTTGCCTAGCTGAAGAGGCAGGTTGCTCTGAGCTGCCCTGTGTCCTGAAGAATTGTTCAGCCCTCCGATCGGCAAGAGGTCAAAGTCTTAAACACAGAGGGCTCCGAATCAAATCGCAAGGTCTTCTTGAATGTGCTTAAGGAACCGGCCAAAAGAATCATCAGAAGAATATATATACACACAAAAGCCACAGGGGAAAGCAAAAATCACCCTATATAAGCACAAACAACCAAATCTTGTTGGCATCAGGGCACGGAACCACCTTCTCCGAGTCTCTCGCGCAATTGAGCACATCCTCCAATGATCCATCTATCTGTCTGTCTGTCTGTCTGCCTGCCTACCTGCCTGACTGCCTGACTGACTGTCTGTCTATCTATCTGTGTCTATATCTCTCTCTCTCTCTCTCTGTGTTCGAACCTATAACTACCCTCCACCCAGCCACTGTGTCTCATCCGCACAAACCGAACAACACACGCACATACACCAACACCCCCTCCCTTAGCCAGCGTGGCGATGTGTTTGACGTCGCGCCCGAAGAACTGCGCGCGCCCGCGCGCGCCGGCGCCGAAGAAGGGCCTTCCAGCTTGCTCAGGCGTCCAGCGCGTTGGTCCAACTGCACTGTGTACCACAAGGGCAGCCCGCTGATGGGCTGTGAGAACTCCCACCTCGGTGCAGGGAAGTGAGCTGGACGGCGGCTGGGGACGGTTGGGTGGCGACGACGATGGAGATGGATGAACATCGGCAAACAAATGAACTTTAGATAGGGGTCTTAAAGCTGCATTGAGAAGGAAGGCGAAATCAAAGTATTGAAAGCCTCGCCCTTGCTGTAAGAGCTCATGTGATTTCAGTGAGTTATAATTAGTAAGTTCAAGCTCTGTGTGATCTTCGTCATCTACTACCGATCGGACGCCCTGCGAAGTTTCGAAGGATCCTTGGAAGATAGACAGTGAGAACATAGATGTCCAGCCAATTAAGACAAGGACCAGAACAACAAATCTTCCCCATGCCATGGAGATTTTATGGTAAGTTTATTGATATAGGAGGAAAAGCAAACAAAAATCACCCCAACATCATAACATCTGCTAAACTCTGGGTGTAGAGCCTTAACTTAGAAGGCCTGGTCCCTGTCTTCTGGAAGAAAGAAATTAGCTCTGGGAGGCATTTGGAGCATCAACCAAAAGCCATGCCTCTGGCTGCAGGTCCGGCATAATACCCTTAGAAGCGCACCCCCCATAATTTTTCCTGAAGGAAACGTAAGGATTTTCAAGGATGCCCAGAATGGTATCCTTCAGCTTCTTCATGTTTCTTTCCCGTCTACCTTCAAAACCAAGCACCAACAACGAGTCTTCTTGCTGTTCTCAGTTCTTGTTGCCATGCTTTGTCCAGGAACCGCGGAAAAAACATATATATAATATAATTATATAGATCAGGGGATCTACAAATAGGGGAAAAATAGACATGAACCGGAAAAAACATAAACATGCCAGGAGTCACATGGAGGGCCTGGGTGGTGTGGCTCGTCCCATCCAGGGGCCGTGCATGTGACCCTGTCCCAGGCACTCGAGGACTTCTCCCACGGCGAGCTCCTCCTGAGGGTGCTACACTCCCTGAGAGAAATCAGTGGAAGAACCACCTGCTTGTGAAGCGGGCTAGTCCCTATCCTAAAGGTTGGATACTAGGCCTCAGGCCTGAGGCCTAGTCCCTATCACTGATATCACTACGTGCTTGGTGGTTGGTTTAGGGACCAATTGGTATCCAAAGAGGCGATGTTCATCAATGTGAGATTATTTGCTCCAAATTTTTGAGAATAGATTGTCCATCCAGCACGCAAATACTTCGAGAGGTGCAGCATCCTTCCCCCTATGAAGACCCCGTCATTCGACTGTTCTGTCATGCAAGATTTGCCAAAAGGACACCAGGCCAATCTCAAACTACAACCGGCCCCCCAAATTAAGAACATTAGATGAAAACATTAACTGGAAGAACGTGACCGGGTAGTGTCAAACCTGCCATGTATGGGTCGCAAAAAGCACTCATCAACAATTAGAATTCCGGCGCAACTTGATGTTTGCAATGAACAAGTGACGTGTCCCTGCCTCATCCATCTTGCAGCACATGGAAAACATCCCAGCAAAAAATAAAAAAGAAAAAAAAACTGAAAGTTGCTCATACATGTTCATACCATCAACAACTTTCAGTTCATATTGTAGATCAAGGTGTTCATACTAAACATTGCTTTTCCGTTGTAGATCGTGTTCATTCATCAGCTCACCCTCTTGTTCATCAACTCCTGGTCATTGATCTGCTTCAACGTCGTGGTGTAAATTTTCTTGGCATCGCGAGTTTCAAAGGCCACCTCAGCACGAGGGTTCTCCAGCTGCATGCCGCATGGACCGGCGGGCGGTTTTTTAGGGGGTCGAAAACACGCATGGCATCACCTGAAATAGGAGAAGATACCTTTAACATGTGAATGCAACGTGACGTATTCACTCAGCTTCGGAGCCATGCAGCCAGGTATGACTGCATCCATGTTGTGCAGGCATCCTGCAAAATGCATATGCTCGCCAAAAACAATCCCCTTTACATACCTCTGACTCTGACTCTTCCTCTACCCCAATGCTTCAATCGTATGTGGTTGAAAGATTCTGAAACGTGTGTTCAAATCGAGCGGTTTCAGGCGGCCAAGCGTGCTGCAAGTCTTGTCGATGAAACCCCCCAAAAAAAAACGGATTGAGCGCCTAGTGGCAGGTTGTTAGCCTAATTTGCGAGGACAAGTTGTATACCAAAAAGAATCTGCCCCCACGGCAAAAAGCAAACCTTCCGCGCACCAAACGTACGTACCCATGGGCTCGGCCATGCTCGGCCAGGAATGGGAGGTGGAAAAAAGCGGTCGTTGTTCAGGCTATGGCTATATTAAATTCACCGTCGGTGAAGCCTAGAGCTGCAGTCAATAGTCTAAACTTGTCTAAACCCTGTTGTTGAATTCCCCAGCTTGGATCTGTCAAGTTCAAAGCGCCTTCTGCACGCGCGATTCATTGAATACACCCCTAAAAGTGTAAAGCCTATACTTGGCACCATCGATGTAAAGGAACATCATTGTTCGGGTCATCAAAAACAAATGTTGGAAGATATATAAATAAATATATAGTCCTCTTGAACTCCCGGGGTGTATCTACCACAAGCGCCCCCAGAAAGACGTTCGCATTATGATTCCACATGCTACACCAATCACACTCGAATCCACGATTGTACAGCCCAAGAAATCCTCACCACGTTAAACCATTAAACCATATCAACAACGTTCAACCAAACTAAGCCATGTCATATTTTATACTATTATTTTATCATATTCAAATCATTCATCCTCATGCTCACCTGACCCCGTCACGATCCGAAATGACTCTATGCCAAAAACGGCCAACCACCACATGCATGGACACATCGCGCAGAACATACCCGTGTCTTTCCCAAAACCGCCAAGGTGGAGTTGAGGAACCTCAACTGCGCTGGGACCGGGCCCCCGTGGCCGGGCTGAGTTCACCACCACCTCCCCCAGGGCCGTTCCAAGCCACGCTGTGCACGAAGAGGCTGGGGTCCTCGCGATCAACTTGCGTGCGGATGCGCTGCCGCAGCGGACCAATGTGCTCCTCGGGCGGCCGGGGAGAGAGGTCGCCGCCGTGGGAGAGAGGTCGCCCAGCTCTCCTAGGAGTCTCAGGTGAAAAATTCTGAACTCAACCAGACATGTGACAATGCTCCGATGCTTAGTTGAATGCCACAAATCATGTTCGGAGAAAATCATGTCTATAGTCTGTATACACATTCCTTCATCCCAAACAGTCCATGGACGGGGTCCGGACACTACATAGCAGGGTACAAAATCCTTTCCAACTCCACGGTTCTTCATAGGGATGTTGAATTAACCGCTGGTTCTTCACAGTGATCGAACTTGATATCCCGGTGATAGGGCGCCCTGTAAAGGGTCACTGGGTCGGGGCTTACGCCAATTGCTCCGATCGCCCCTCGCTTCGCGCCTCTGGGGCCGGTGGCGCTGCGTGCGACGCACCGACCGTCTCCACGTCATCCGCGCGACGCAACGCCGAACGGAGCGGTGTTCGGGGTGCCGAGGGGCCGTCCCGGTCGCACAGTCCTTCATCTCCGCCATCCCTGCGACAGGGGGGAAGGGATTTGGAAGGGAGAGGCCTCCATACCAGAGGTGGGTCAGCACCCGACCGTTCGACTATCCCAGTTCGGTGCTCCAGTGGGGTCCTATTTACGGTCACTGATCCTCGTAGTTCGGCCTCTAGAAGTTGGAGGTGTCTGAAACTCATTGCGGCTGGTTTGAAGATACCTTTGAAAGCGCACACACCATATTGGCCCGCGGTCCCGGACCATTGGAGGCTGCAAGATGTTAGACACCATGATACACCCCTCCTGTCTGGGCAGGGTCCCAGATGGGTATGATGAGTTGTTGCAGAAAGGTTGGCATATTGAATCATCCTTCCTGGAGCTGGAACCTAGCTGAAACAAAAACACCCATCCCATCGACGCGGAACCACCGTGCCACCGCACCACTCAAGGTCCCTTCTCCGCTCGGAGTCTGAACGGATCGTGAGGAAGGAAAGGCCAAGTGGCAATGCTCCCAACCCAAGTGGCACCCGCGCAGCACCCGAAAAGAACCTGAAACTGGTGCTGTTTGGACCTCTTTACGCCACCCGGTGTAGACCACCGCGCTCCAACCCCCGGTGGCCTGGCTGAACCACTTGAACGCGCACGAAGTGGGTCTTCCCCACGATGGTCCCAGGCCAAAAGATCCGCCTCGGTGCCCAGTTCCACCGCCCCGCGGCCGGCGCCCGGTTCCGCCCGGCCGTTCCGCGCCTCGAAGCCGTTCCTGCCCCGGAGGTGAAACTGGACATGTCGACATGTAAGTAATAGGTCATACATACCATCCAAGGAGTGCCCTGTCTGGAAGCCTAATTATAGGTAGTGTGGTCCTCGTCAATGGTCATAGATGGTCATGGGCCATGGGCAGTAATGTAGACTCTTGATTCATAAACCCTCCTCAACTCAAATGGGGTGGTTTATTAATCAAGAGTCTAATATACCCCTACAAGTCCAAAGACCCAGTAAAGCCTGGTCTTTTACCTCAGTAAGTATTGGTTTTGTATGACCATCTGAAGTAAAATGAGGTATTTGACTTGTAGGGTATATAATGTATATATATATATGCAGGTCTCCGAAACAAGGAACGGACTCCAAGCGGTCCCATGGTGGCCGGGGCTCCACAAGTGCGGTGACCACATGACTCGGTCCAGACCTACCAAGAGAGGTCTGGAGTGAAAACAGGCTTCACTGCAGAAGTGGTTGCCACCATCCTGGTCCACTTCCCCCCCTCTAAAAAGTCTGCATTTGAAACAGGCCTTTTGATGGGGTATATGCAGAAGGCTGGACGGTTGCACCTTCCTGGTCCATGTCTTCCCTTCGAACAAATCGAACTGCCTACTTGTTTGGCCTTTCAAAGGTTTGGAGCATTCAGGGAGGCTGGACAAGGCATGTTATAGACCTTTAGGGGTGGGTGCGCCACACTGCCCATTTCTTCTCTTCTATCAAGTGCCTTCTCCGCGTTCTTTTAGATTTTTTCAAGGGTTTGGATATCAGAAAGGTTGGACAAAACATCTTATAGACATACAAAAGAACCTCTAATGGGTGGAGCAGGAACGCGGAACAGGGTGAGCAGCTGCAAGGGAAATCCAATATTCACTTTTTGTCTTGGCACTGGGTGATTCCATTCTTTTTGGTTTTCTTATCCTTTGACTTCATAACAGTGATGAATCACACAGGGCACCACGTAGTCACTCACAACTGCACACCAAACGTATAGCAGAGCAGGAACAGATCTCCCTACAACATGCAATTCCAGCAAAACATCACCAGAATGAGCCCGCCCTTACATGCCTTTGCTATAAGAACGATTTCACTCTACCAATATGTTGAAGCTGCTCCAAATCAGTTTTTGTAAGCCATAACTATTGGGTACCTGAAATTTGTATTTTTGGGATGCCAAATGGTCCCCATCTTATAGAGAACCCTTCACCAGGTATGATGAAGAAGTAAACGGTTCACCGTTTTCAATCCTTTTTCTTCACCTTTTTCAATCCTTTTTCCAGCTGTTCCTGTTTAGTGGGGAACCACCCAAGTAATCAGAAACATTGTTGCCTCCACAAGCATCCTATTTCGATCAATCCTTTAAAGGGCTCCAGTACCGTCTCGTTTCGGTTTAAAGCCCGGGTGCCAGGGTCCGGGTAGGAGGTACGACTGGAGAGAGCCCGGATGGGAATATGTTGCCCCTGCCGAGCGACTCCCCAGACACGTCCCACTCTACGGAGGCTCGGTCGCCCTCCTTCCAGTCGCTGCCTCGCGATATGGACGTCGAGACGTCCCGGTCCCGCCGGGCCAAGGGGTGATTTCGTTGAAGAAAGGGTTAATTAAAACGGCAGGGGTATCAAACCCAACAAACAAAAACCCCAAATTCATCAGTTGGGCCTATAATTAAGTCCGTGTGGTAGAAAACTCAACGAAAAATCCATCAGTCTCTGCAAAAGCCCAAATGATCAGAGACCTGTTCTTTTTTTGGAGGATGCTGGCATAGACAAACGACGGGTCCAAAGAGCTCCAATTGTAGCCGATCATTGGCATCAGGTATCCAAACGACCGGTCTCATAGCCTCATAGCCTGGCATATTTATGTAATTTATATACCCATCCCCAACCAATCATGGTTGTGTGATCCAATCATGTGTTACGTGACATGGCCACTGGGAGAATCATACTGTCCTTGAAAAACACAGAAAATGTCATCCACTTCCATGTTGGTTAGAGGGAGGGTACCTACATTGGCACATGGAGGGCGGTTGAAACAACAAAGGACTCAACATACGTAGGCATACAACTAGACTGGTATTTGACTACACCAAACAAAAGAATCACCACGTACCAGGTCCCCTAAGAGGTGGTTCATTTATTGTTTATGGACATCCCTTAACTATATAACCTCTAAGGGGCTTCGATTAGACACCCCAAACCGGGGTCCCTGAAACATTCCATGTCTTACGTCCCTCTGTCAGACTGAACTTCTACGACGTACGACAACTGAGAGTGGTGGAGCTGCTTACTGCTTCACTCTTCAGTGGGCATCTTGCAGAGGTCTCATAGCCGGGAGGTGGATCTTATTTACCATTCTATTTATCGAAAGCAGGGACAAGAATCGACCCGTTAAAGGCCCTCACTGGTCCAGGACTTTGAAATACGATTCTAAATACGTCAGGAAACATGCCTTTTTCGGGTCCAGGTCCATGGCTTCAACGATTGAATTCCAAGAAGGTCCATGGTCCATGGCTTCAACGATTGAATTCCAAGAAGTGTGATGACAGGCTTCATATCCCATACACTCCATTAATATATGCCTACACTGACCCCCAAACCACCCCAATGTAGGCATATATGGATACATGGAGCGTCTGGGTACGGCTTCAATGTTTGGATTGGATAGAAGTCCAAGAAGTGTGATGACATGTCGACCACGGCCGAATGTCATATGGACGAATCGAGTGACCAACGTCGACCCTTTGCCACCTGGAGGAACTTCGCAGAAGAAGGAGGAACTTCGCCGTAACGTAGCCCCGACTCCCTCAGTTTCCCTGGGAAAAGGGGGGCTATTAAGTACAAGCTTTCCAGCTGTTCAATCCACTGTCGATGTGAACATCGACAGTGGAAAGACGGCTGAAGAAACCACCCAACCCCCCTGTTTTCAAAGAAAGGTTTGTCAGGTTGCCGGAACCCCGATGCCTGAGCCTGACCGTGCGGAAGGCGGGCTGCTGAGCGGTTTCTCCTTGCTGCCCAGGCGGTTCCTGGTTGGAAATGCGTCGTCAAGCATGAAGGCCCAAGAAGCCAGCCATCTGAGCCAGCCATCTGAGTGTGCACTGAAAATGTCTAAATTATAAGGAGGCCTTCCAACGAATTCCTGGAAGAAGGAACGTTGACTAAAACCCATTGGTTGGGGATCTACTGCTAAAGAAGCGATAAGAAGCATATCTGGTCTTTTCTGGAAGCTCTTGTGGACATAAACCGTTGCCTTTGGGTGCTTCTTGTGTGTACAAAAGATGTGACATGTGATGGGTGTGATGAGCTGTGATGTCTTCTTGCCTGAGACAGTCGTGATATGTCATGCTGATGCACGGAACATGCGATCCGACGTGGTTTTTGGGCCTGAGAATCAGGTGGAGGGAGCAGGCACGAACAGTCGCCGAGTTGTCCAGCTGGATGTTTTGGGAACACCAACAGCTGATCGCCGCCTTGCTCCTTACCCAACAGAGCTGAAGACCGTGTGGCCATCGACCGGAGCTGCTTCCGCGCTTCAGCCGACCCGGTCCCCATGCGATCCACACGGGTGGAACGGGGTGTTTGCGCCCAAATGAATTGCCCAAGGGAGCCCGTTGCTCGTTGCTATCAGGGTGATAGGGAGGATGATAGGGGGCCACCAAGCTCCTTAGAGAATGGACTTGCCGCAGAACCTGATCCATTCTTCCTGCTCCTTGCTGGTAAAGGCGGCATACTGACCTACACTCCCTGAAAAAGATAGGGAAGTGACACATAGCCATAGCCCTTGGATGTTCATTTTCCTCTACAAAGAATTACAAAGAGGTGGTTTTTTCTACTTCCATGATCATTTCAGGGAGTGTAATTAACTACCAGACCTCGGGTGCCACTCGTGGAACCACATCCGCCGAGGGTCTGTTCCAGCAACGTCGGCTTCGCCTCCGCCTCTCTGGTCCTTGGCGTCTGCGTCGGCGGCTTAACCCGCGCGCTTTCAGGAGGTTGGTTCGTGGAACAAGCGTCCCGCAACAAGTCTTTTTCTTCCCCAAGACATCCAGGATTGAAAGGTAGCTCAGATGCCTGTCAAATCCTGCTCCCTCGTGCCCAAGGAGCACCCTGTTCTTGTTCGATTTCGACGGCCCAGGGACAAACCAATGGGCAGGCGGCGGCCCAGGAACCAAACCAACGGCAGGCTGCGAAGGACATAAAGAAAACAAAAAACCATCAGTCTCCATCAGAACCTCACCAGCTCTGGTGCTCCATTGGGTGGTCCTCGATCGCCTTCCGCCCTACCGGAAGGCCTGTGATCGCCACACCGTACCATACCGTACCGTTGGGTCATCTTTCGCACACCATGGTGCGCGGTTGTTGGTCTACCACACCAATGGTTTGCGGGTCTGCACGCTCTGCGATGATTGGGCGGTTGGAAGAGTGAAGAACCACGTTGAACAGAATCAACAAACATCCGTAAAAACCTTGAACTTACTTGGAAGAACCCCTTGCAACCCAGAACGCCCAGCTGTGAGGGGCAGGGGTGATGAGGTGATGCACTTCTCTGAACGTGCAAGCCAGTCTTCTTCAAGGCCTTTTCCAAGATAGACTGCTTCTCTTGATACTCCACCACCTTCTCTTTCGCGATCCTCACTTGGGCTTACAAAAGACAGAACAGCAAAAAACCTTGCAAGATTGAAAGCACGGACTTGAATCCAAAAGATGTGGGTAATCATGATAACCATGGACTTGGGGATCATATGCCCATGGATGCCTATTGGGCACAACCTTCCAGCTTCATGTTCATCTTCAAGTACCCCAACAAACACTCCATGGGAGTGAAATACATATCAACTCCTGGCCTGCTCGGGAGCCAGTCCTACCAGTCAAACCCTTTTTTCGCGGTCAACGCATCAATCCATCGTACCCCTACCCACATTGACCACCCCCCCTAGCCTTCAGTTGGACCCTTCAAAAGAACTTAAGCTTCACCTGTTGTAGTCCTAAAAAGGTGTGTCTTCAAAACCCCTGTCCAAACAGCTCTCTGGGACCATCGACCCTTCCGGCCGCCCTCTCGCGCGGACTTCAGAAGGGCCCGTGACCGGGAGTTTTCACTCACAGTCGGAGTTTTCAAGGTCGGTGGCCCCGAAGGACATTTTTCAGGTGATCTCACCGGACCTATCGATGGTTGGGGTGTGTTCTCCCTCTCTCTCTCTGTGGGTGTTGAAACAAGTTGACAACATGGGTGGTTGGTATGTATATGTATGTATATGTTCTCTCTCTCTCTCTCTCTCTGTTGGAACACTTCGACACACAATGCGATGAAGTGTCTTCAAAGCTCCTTCGAGACTGTTCTCATTTGCAGATGTTACCTTGGATCTGCTCATCCATGCGGACGCAAAAAAAAACGCACAGAGGCCCTCAAACAATCGTGGAAGCAAAACATGGCCTCAAAAAAACCGAGTGGAACACAAACAACGCCGAAAGGAAAGGTACACTCTGACTGACGAACATGAAAGGTGAAAACCCCACGGGGGCTTTCCATGTGAGTGAGTTATAATATTTGGCCTCAATAAACACCCCCTACCTGGATGGTTAAAACATCTGCATAGGGTCGGGGGCTATTCATCAACAGCTTGGATTTGCTTAAGAAACTGGTGAAGAAAATGAACACCTCTTCCCCCATTTCAGGGCATTCACCCCGTTGATTCGTCCAATCAGAGGCACCCAGCCGAACGCAGCCCACTGCCCACTGCCCACCGGTCAAAGCTCCACGCGACCGCACACGACGAAGAGGACCTGACATGGAACCGGGCTTAGCATGGACCCCCAACGTGCCAGAATCATGGATGATTTCCCCTGGCGCCATTCCTCTACAGGGCGTAAGATCGATCGCGGAAGGCGTACGCAGACCCCAATGTCACCTTGGATGTGCTTTCGGAACCTGGAAAAAGTAGACTATTTTTTTCAGAAGTGGACCTACCCATAGTTAATTAGGGAGATCTATTAAAAAGAACACACACACACACACCTCAAGCAAAACCATGTCACCCATTCAGAGAACTCCACCAGTTCCTGGCCCACGGCCACTGCCACGTCCACTCCGCTCAGCTCCGCCATGGGCGGGATAATGACTGGGTCGACGGGTGAGGTTGGGCTGTGACGTCCATGTCATGGCCATGTCAGGAAGTCTTCGATGATCGTGCTTCCCTGCAGCTGAGATGGCTGAATCAAGATCATGAAGATACAACACCTCTTGACGTCTTTCAATGATCCTGCCCCATTTGTCACATGGGCTGAAGCAACTCCTGAGCCCAAAAGCCATCCACCTCAAGCAGTTTTTAAGGTTCTCCACTTGAAAACCTGGAGATGTTGATGAACCCCCATCCATCCAACGGATTCGAGCAACTCCCACATTTCGGTGGCGAATCTGGCTCCATGCCGCTCGAAGCTGGGGGGGATTTTCAGTCGTCCCCCAGTGGTGAAATCTTCGAGCATCCATAAGGTGGATCCATCTGAACATCCATATACGGAAATATTACGCCACCTAATTATGTGAGGAACTTGTGAGCACCTCAGAAGAAATGAGCTTGTTGTAAGATTTTACCAGGTCAGTTTGCATCAGTTCTTGACCAGGACGCATGTCCAGATGTCCAGGACGCCTATCTCTCCCATCGGCTCCATCTATCCAAAAGACTGGGCCGAACACGGAAGGAACACAAAATCTGAACCAGAACCTTCATGTCAGCTTAGCAATTCGGGACTCCATGTCTATATGTAAGCAAGTGGCCCCAGATAGATAGAAAAGCAACATCCCATAGATCCCCACTAAGAACCGCTTGGAAACCGTCCCATCTGCCACATTGTCTAAGCTCGATGACCCTTCTTACCAATTTCCTGCCGTATCGCCGAATGCGGATAGAGTTCGAGTTCTGGACTTCGAAAGGAAATAACATGGAAAAACGTGACCCCCCCCGTAGACCCTATAAACCCAAAACACTCCATGGGACTGCCAAATATGCCGATCAGTTGGGGTGGTGCCAGAGGGGTCAATGGGGCGGCAGTCCTATGGCAGTCCCATGGAGTGTCTGGGAAATCAGACCATCCCAAACGTGAAGGACGCCCGACAGGTCCGAAATCCAAAAGGACCCGACCCGGGCTTGGTCTCCGCAGACCCCTGACCGGTTCGGATTCGGGTCCAGTGGTCCAGCGTTCCCTATGGGTATTTAAACACGACTGACCCTAAGAATCAAGGACCCTCAGTTCGGTGAAGATTTGGTTCGGGTCCAAACCCCTGCGTTCTGCAGGGTCATTGGACCCTCCAGTTCGGAGGGTCCAATGATTCTTAGGGCACATGGATTGCCAAACCTCCCTCCGGCCTCGGGAATCTTAGGTCGCATCCGCTGTTTCGACGCGTCGATCACTCTTCATCGGATTCCCCAGGGCCCCCCGGCGGGGAGAACGAAGAGGACGAGGACGAAGGAGTTGGCGCTTGGATTCGCCACAGGTGACGTGAAGTCACAAGTAGATCGATGATAATAAGGACTTTACCTACATGGTGATATGGCGTCCTCTACCCCCAATCTAGAACCAATTGGTTCTACGACATCACTTCTTGGGGGCCTCTACTGGAGATAGCACTTCGATTTCACTTTCCGTCAACCGCTACCGTGAGAAACGTGCAGCAATCCACGTACCCAAAATAACTACAATTCAGTTGCCAGGTATAGTACCTCAACCGCTCGATAGTCTTTACACACGCACAGCTATCTACAGCTTTGAAGTCTCGTTCGTGCTTTGAACATATATAGGTGTGTAAGATGTATAGCAACATAGCATTTATACGGACCCAGGGCAGCTACAATTCTTTTGCCAGGTATCGCACTTCAATTTCCCTACCCTGAGTCCGCGCGCGCGCCTTCCTGGCCCCTTCTTTGTCTTTGTCAGTTTGGAGGGGTCGGCACGGCCCGATCGAGAACGAGACGCGCGGATCCGACACGGCTCTCGGATCCGACGCGAGCGCCAGGAGTTCATTCCTGGGAGAGCCTTGAAGCCATCATCTTCACCCAAAGACTATGCGCCAGCAGTTACAAAGGGGTGCTTAATGGAGGTTAGGGCTGCCCATTATCCACTCACTTGGAGACTAAACGCCACCCCGACATGTGACTCCTGGTGAGTTCCCATCGTTGGGACATTAGGCTCCCCCCATTGAAGACGTCCGTGCTTGAATACTGGAAGTCCAACACCCTGAGTGTTCTGTTGTTCTGGTCAGAAAGGCGATCCGAAACGCACGCCCTCCTTTACTCCGGTGGTGCCGAAAGTAGCCTTTGGACTTCTACGAGTTTGAGATTGGTTGGCGGTGCTTGTGTAGTTGCACTTGATGCAGCTCTCGTCTCTCATCGTCTCTCGATTCCACAGCATGCTCGTAGAAGCTTGTCCATGCATTTCATTTCGTTTCATTTCATGGAAACTTGACCCTTAAGAGCCTTAGAGCCTCCTAGGTTTGAAAACTGAATCGCATGTCTCCACAAATCGGTCGGGCCCCACCCACACCTCGACTTCCACGGCATCGCTCCCACCTTCCCGCCTGCTCCAGCTGAGCCCGTCGGATGGCCTCCAAAGCCTTCGCCTCGGGGCGTCCCATTGCGGACCCCATGACGTTCCTGAAGCTTTGGACGTCCCATTGCGGACCCCCCTATGGCCTCCAAGGCCTCCGATCCGTAAGAAAACCGTCAGAACAGGCCGAGTGGTGGACTTTCCGCGGCGGAAGTTCCAGGTTTCGGGAGACCTTCCAGGCGTCCCTAGCCCGAAAAAAGAGAACATAGACCAAAACTACCCGTTGGGCCAGGGTGACTCCTTTGAATTCATTTATGTTGCTGAGTGGGGGGGTTTTGCAGGTGCCGGACTCAAGTTCCACGGCCTTCTAATCTTCTACCCTTTCAGTAGGGGTTGCACTGTTGCACGGTGATGTGCATGACATCCGGTGATGAGAGTGCTAGGTCTACGGTCTACCCACTAAGCCCTGCACTTGCATTACGCGTCTTAACTTCCTAAGGGCGATGAGTGTGCGCAAGTTCCAACTGAAACTGTTGCTGCATGGGTATGACGCACGGATCTGATGTAGACCAACGTTGGGCCCATGAGGCCAGAATGTGATCCGCCACAATGCTGTTTGCATAAACAAATCTGGTAATGAAGCCCGAAATCGTCACAGGGCTGTGCATGTGCGGTCCACGGCTATCTCTTGTGGCCCCGGAGTCGGTTTCCGCAGTGGGAGTCCTGTGCTGCAAAGTAGCCGACAGAAAAAAGAAATACGTCTGGGCAAAACGAAAAAACGTCCGGTTGGGGATCCTTTCATGATCAAAACCAACCAAGAGAGGTTAAGTGACCTTATAGGACCCCACTGGGGTACCTATGGTACAGTGTATATATAGGGTCCTTCAACCTCTGTTGGAAGTGCTGTTTGAAGCCGTCCAACCTCGGGCCTTGCTTTTACCTCCCTCTTCACCCCCTTGGCCTGCTCCGCCTCCGCTGCACGGCGGAGTTCCTCGACCTGCGCGTCGACAGCACGGCGGTGTTCTTTAGCATCCTAAAAGCTGGGCGACCAACTCTTCGACACAAAGCTGGGCGAGGTGACACGGTGTTGCAGATGTTGCAGTAAGTGACCTGAAAACAGGACCAGTCGCCGCCCCAGAACTGGGATAACAATAGAATACATTAGAGTCCTTCAACCTCTGTTGGTCCAACTCCTGGGGTCCAAAGAGGTCCACGGCGCCTTGGACCGTGAGGGTTCAAAACCCAGTCGCGAACGGGATGGGTCCATTGTTTTTTTTCATCTTGAGGCCGAGGTACCATGCAGGATCACAGCCAGCAGCAAAACGGGAGAGCACGGAGCATCAACTAATCCAGGTGATATTTGTGAATGGAAGCAAACTCACAATCAGGAGTTTTCCCGAAGTTACGAGCGATCGCAAAACGGACAAGGAAGAACCAGATACGGACAGGATTGACGAAAGTGACCAGAGCCACAGAATCCGCTAAACCTTCCCAGGCCAAACTCCTGCAAAGAAGAGATGTGCTTAGCACTGAGGACATTAATGCCTTGCAACTTCCAAATCCATCCCAGGGCAGATCTGAACATGCATACGGAAGCATGCAGTGACTTACACTGCGCGAAGTGGGTATGTACAGTCGGAGAGTGACTTCAGAAAGCGAGGCAAAGCAACAGCCATGGGACGCGGTCCTTCCGGCTCTGAGAATATCAGCCATGCTGTCTGAGTCACAAACAAGTCTCGTGCAAAACCCACAGTCATACGTCGTTGACACTTGGCAAGCCGGTCAGGGGTGATGTCAACATGGAGTTTCCGATTCGAGGGGTCAGCGGCAAAAGCCAGAGTGAAAACCGGATAATGATGCTTAATATCCTCAATGTGCTGTTGAGTCAGTGTCTGGTTCAAACAGGCTTGTACAAATTCATTTTCGGGCTTTGCAACAATTACCGATTGAGACTGACACGTGCAAACGTTTTGGTTCCCGTGCAAACGGGTTTGGGGGGGCACAGGTGCACGTGTATGTTCTGGAAAGATGAGGAAACACTACGTTTCCTTCGTACGCATTCTGACTTTCGTTTGGCAATACTGTCGAAAATCGACGGCGCAAAGTCGAGATGATGTGAACATGAGTGGCCACAGCTGCTGACACGGCGTCGTCTCGCTCAAGCTGGCGAGATTCCCAACACTCTTTGGCGCAACATGTTGCCAGCCTGTCGGCCTCAGAGTTTCCACGAGTCCAGTGATCTGGCTGCTGTAAATCACCAACACTGCAGTGGGCCTTAACTTTGATCATTTCGACTTGGCCGGATCGGTTGCGAACGGGATGGGTCCTTTCTCAAGCATTTTTGAAACACAGTGGTGCCACCTAGAAGCTCTGCAGCACGGAGGGTGAAGAGAAAGGCCTGAAAGCATCCATGGTGATGTGGATGGGAATGGCATGGTCATTTCAGATGATCCTGAAATCCGAAGACCGAACAGGTGGCGCGATCCACTACCACGATTATTTCAGGGAGCGGAATTGAATTTTGTGGTGGAAATTAGAATCAGCCTTGGGCAAAATCACTCACTGAGCCAAGAAAGGCCCTTGTCTCACTGCCTCACGCGTATTCAGGAGCGG